AAAGTGAGGAAGGAAAAAGGAACAAAGGAAGGAGGTCTTCAAGGCTATATATAGAATTTCTTGCCCACATCTCATAGTTAACACTGACACATATTACTATACCAACAATATTTTATGCAAAAATGAAAAGAAAAGAAAAAGTCAAGAAATGACACACATGTGACTTGATTCCCACTACATTTCACTACAAGGCTGTCATCTCGAGATCTGCTGGATTATCAGTGTGATGAAGTTTCACATGATACTTCGGGGCTTTTTATTGATTCCATGGGTAAAAGTGCTCAAGCTAACACTTCAAACGGGTGGTTTGTTACAAAAACACAAGTTTCCCAATTTAGCAAGTACTGATGTCATAACTACCCGTCTGAAAGCTGTACCGCTCTCACACTTTCTGAAGAGCCACAGCTTATCTCAGAACAGCGGCAGGGAAACCCCACGATCCTTTAGAAAGGCCACAGGAACCTACAGAGGAACATTTAGCACCTGTGCAATTCACTCATTTCCTCAACAAAACCCCATTTACATCCAGTACTAAAACTGAACTGATTATCCTGATCGTTTACATATAAAAACATACCTAAAGCTGCTTTGATGCGTCAATGGCTTGTTGAATGTGAATGGATGTGTGAAGAAAAAAACGAATGATTAACCTTTAACGGGAATATGTGCTTTACTGCTCAACAAGGATGTTTTTTAAACTCAATAAATTTCTCAATGGAGGAACAAAGAGGCTTTGTGCACAGAACAGCGGCTCTCGGCACAGCAGCCATCGTGGAGAAGCTCAAGCTTTTCCAGGCCAAACCGAGAAGCATAGCCACAAGTTTACTGTCTGTCGTCTTTTTCTCAGGTTATTTCTGTTTCCAAAACCACATTAAGCCCATTTACATTTAATTCAAGACTATTCGCCTCAATCTAACGTGGAAAAATGAATTAATGGTTAAAGTAGAAACAAACAAGTAAATAAATGTTTATACTGTATATGTGTGTGTGTGTGTGTGTGTGTGTGTGTGTGTGTGTGTGTGTGTGTGTGTAAAGAAATATAAAATGCCACAAAAATACAGAATAAGCAATAAAAAAAAAAAATAATAAATAAACTGCATCATAAATAAAATATTAATAATTTTAATTAAGATTACCTTATAGAATACGTAAGCAAATAAATATACACTGCATAATAAATAAAAATTGTTTATTAATAACTTGTATTAAGATGACCTTACAGACTATGTAAATAAATAAATACACAAACTGCATAATAAATAAAAAACTGCTTATTAATAATTTAAATTAAGATTACCTTGCAGAATATGTAAGCAAGCAAGCAAGAAAATAAAAACAAATAAATAAATAAATAATATATGTAATGTAAATTAAGATTACATTAGACTATATAAATAAATAAATAAATATATCACTAAATAATAATAATAATAAAATTGCACAATAAATGCATTTTTAATCATTTAAGATTACCTTACAGACTATGTAAACTAGCAAATAAATAAAACAAACAAAAATGCTTAATACACAAATAGCACAAATCACTAAATAAACAAATATATCACTAAATAAACAAATAATGCACAAATATTAAAGAAAAACACAAGTCACATGGCTATGATTGTGTGTTGTTTATAAGTTTTGTAACTTGCTAAACGTTTTCACTAAAGTAGTAACCAAGATGGGCCCTACACTGACAACTTCACAACAGCCTGTCCTACCCTAAACATCTCTGACGTAAAACCAGCAAAGAGATGCATTAAAGAAATCCTAATGTAATCTGATGCACCTCTTTTCCACTGTTTACCCAACATAACAGACCTTTCTATGCCATATATAATAAATAAAGACACAAAAACCATGAGCATGTCCTGCCCAGCAACCCTTTCCCAGAAGAACACCTCAGATCAACTAAATCAAACGTCCGGAGAGAATCACAAAGGAGCAGCGGGACCCGTTGAGACAGAGACACAGAAGCTACTCTATTTACAAAGACTGTCTGAAAACACAAACAATAGCAGGACGACCTGACTTCATAACCCTCTTCTAATGAGAGGAACTTTGGAGGTTCTCATGTAACGCCTCTGTCTTTAGCTCAACCCCCTCAGAAGCCGGGAAGCTCAGAGGGTATAAAAGATCTGAGCGCAGCTCCACTCAGGCTTCAGACCTGCATCACCTGCGCCAATCTCACACTGCATTTCAGTCCTATTGCAATGCTGTCCCGGTGAGTACAAGTCTCTCCTTTGGTGCAATGTTTTACAGCGATAATGCATGCACATGCAATATGAATGAATTATAAGGAAATCTGCAAACATGATGGATAATAACTGATATTGATGAAGGCTAACTCTGGAAAAAGTTAACCATTTTAAACTAGTACAATGTCTGTATCTAAATGAAAGTTGATCAGCTATACAATGTCTGAAAAAAAGTTCAGAATAAATCAAAAAGACAGATTTTATCTATGATTTTAAATATACAGATTTTTACCAAGATGTTCAATTGTGTGATAAAAAATGATGATGTTAACCAACAGGAAACAGAATATTTGTGCATCAAGGATGGTCCTCATTTTTAATAATCAGTTAACTTTTTTTTTCTTGCTATAAAGATTTATTAAAATGTTGAATTATTTACTAATTTGTTTATAAAAATTGGCAATGATTATAATAATTATGTTATAATTTTCTAGGATATTCCACAACGAAAAAAAAAAAAATATATATATATATATATATATATATATATATCACGTACATATTATTTAATATATATCTACTAATATTAATAATAATAATAATAATTCATTTTTAAATGTTAATAACAACAATAATAAAATAATAATAATTAAAATTATTATTAACAATATTTTAATAATACATATTTAGAATATTTATAATAACAAACATTATAATTCTATATTAAAAAGAGTTCAAAAGGAGTATATAAACTTATGAGCAGAACTGTATATAATGTTTATCTTGTAAATTTTGCATGTATTATGCTTTTAAATAATTTAATTTTATATTAATATTTTAAATATAATAATAATAATAATAATAATGGTAATAAAACAATTCATATTTAATAACAGTAATACATAATTAATATTTTAAATTTAAATAATCCCTATTTTACATTTAATAATAAATAATATATGTATATATATATATATATCACTTACATATTATTCAATATATATCTACTAATATTAATAATAATAATAATAATAATAACAATTTATATATATATATATATATATATATAATTAAAATAAATTGTATTTATTATATATAATATTTAAATATTTTATACTATATTAGTTTAAATAACAAATTAATAATTAATATACATTCTATAAAATGAAATATATATATATATATACATACATTTGAGATATTTTTAGATCATCATTAATTTAGAGATTTTTTGTTTCTTTTTTTGTGAATTTTCTTTTTTGTCTCGTTATATAGGACGCTGGTTGTTCCGTTGATCTTTACATTAGTGGGTGTCTCTATTTCTGCACCAATAAACGGTAAGGAAACTTGCTCAGTATGTCTGACTTCATTACATTTCTCACATATAGCTTACATAAATACCATTACAGATCACCCCGAATCCCTAAATTATTATCAGTGGCATGCACCAGCTCTTCTTTCTAAGTAACACGAAGCATTTACTGCCTCACTATAATGGGACTGTAATCAGATCCCTTCATTGAACACAAAAGAGTTCTGTTCACCTGTGCTGCTACATTTAGCCTGGGCCTCTATAGGAGATATAGGACTCTTATAGCTCAGTGCACTCACACCACTAACTGACCATCTTGTCTTTTGTTTTGATACAGATGGAACAGATAATGATGGTAAGAATGTGTCTCGTATACACATTAACCTTAATTATAATGCGAATGATGACTTTTTAAGTTAATTAGTGCCTCTGAATACATGAGCTGTGTTAGAACAATGAATTGCATTGTACTATTACAATTGTTCAAGAAAGCCATTATAGACAGAAAAATCCCTCTTTAATCCGAGTTGTTTCTCCTAAACATGGATGGAATTAGATGTATTTTCCTTAGACTAAGGCCCCAGTCATCTCATATGTGTCTCTGAGAGTTTCAGAAGAGATTTTAGCAATGCCTGCAATTAAACACTAGAGATCTCAATATGAAGTCATTTCTCATCAGATTCTTTCAAATGTTGCTTTGCACAATGATTTTAGAAGAACTAGCATTAGATTGCAAAGCAGGAGACATTCAGTCAACAGGAAAAAAGATTAGTGGAAACAGGCTTCTGTTTAATCATTAAATACAAGAATTTAAAGTTCATGCTTAAAATTAAGTGAATTTACAATTAAAATAAGAAAAAAACTGTCACCGTTTTTTTTTTTTTTTTTTTAAGAATAAACTCAATTTGACTCAAACGAGACTTAATACCTCAAGTCATTTTCCTTCAAGCATGAATCTTGATTTAGGAATGTGTAAATATTTGTACTGAAACATATTTTTTGCAGCTCAAAGCTGTGTCACACTCCATCTTTCCTGAATAACGTCATGGCAACAAGACAGAAAGCAGCAAATATACTGTATATGATCCACATTATAAATGAATGATAATCAAGTAATTTATACAAAGGATGGTGATGTTTGGTCTTTGTTGATATTGTAAACTAAGTGTACCAAGATCTTTAAAGTGGTTCAATTTTTGTGTTTAGTTATGATCATACAGAAAATAAGGCCTACTATGCAAACTAATTTTCGCAAAAGTTATTAGTGACTTTTTATCTCGCAAATCTGACTTTTTTCGCAATTGAGTTTATATCTCGCAATTCTGACATTTGCCCTCAGAATTCTGAGTTTACATCTTGCAATAGTTTTTTTTTATAACATTTTTTTAAATAATAAAAAAACACAAATTAAAAATAAGGTAATTGTGACTTTTCATTTCACAATTGTGACTTTTCTTCTCAGCATAGTGAGTATATAATATTTCAGATGCAGATCATGTTGATACACATTCAAAAGAAGAGGAATCTACAGGTAAACAAACACACTTACTGAAAAAAAGACACATTTATGTGTGAATAATAAAAAGATTTTGTCATTATTTACCAATTGTTTAAAAGTTAACTAAAATTACAAATTGTATTGGTTTTAGTTTCTAAAAATATATATTTTTAAACGTTCTTGGTAATTGAAATAAAGCTGACATAAAATAAAATCTTGCATAATATAAATAAATATTAGATGAAAATTAAAAATAATCATAAAACTGACAAAAGTACATCACAAAATTACTAAAACTGTCATTCTAACACACACACATACATATAATTCATTGTAAATGTTAGTAAATAATATACTCATTTCAAAATTTCTAAATGAAAACTCCCTCTTATATTCCCAAGTGTGTGGTGTGTGTGTGTGTGTGTGTGTGTGTGTGTGTGTGTGTGTGTGTGTGTGTGTGAGATACATAATGATTTACTGTCTCACTATTAATTAAACCTCTGCTTCACAGACATGGATGAAAAGGCAGACACTGATTCAGACAGCTCAGGTAGAGATTTCTCATGCTTCAAAAGCAGAACATGTTCCTGTAGCAACTTCCTAGTTGATTATTGAACAACAGTCATAACAACCAATCAGCTTTGAGGGTTAATGTTAGGCTTGAGCGTGGGCCTTTAATCATTCTTATCAAGCCACCGTTCCCCTCTGGTGGTAGTTAATGGTTAGGATAAGGAGCATGAACACTGTTAACATTGTTAAACACAAACATTGTTCCAGCACCCACAAAAGATGTTCCAGGAACACATCCTACTTGGCACAGTCCTTTCTCAATGCAAAATGATATATTCTTCTGAAACAATGCTGGCATATATATATACATTTTCAGATGGGGATTCTGCTAGTGTGGAAAAGAAAGATTCTGATGATGCACCTGATGATGCAAATACTACAGGTATTTGAAATCACTGCAGAAATGATTTCAAATCAAACAGTGTCAAATCAGTGTTTGTTTAGCATTATTCATATACTATTATAGTATTTATTAATATTTAGAAGGAGCTTTTATTTGCAGATTGTCTATTTTTAATTCATTAGCTTTAATTTATTTTTATTTCTGTTTTTAATCATTCTAGTATTTTACCTTAAACGTTTCTTTTCAAATAAAAGTTTCAAAAGTTTTATTTTCTTAAATTAAGAAAAAAAACTTTTCTTTGAAATAATGGTCCTGCCTGATTTAGCCTGTATAGTTGGTAACTAATAACAGTTGTGTTTTTGCTCTGATGAAGAAGACACGGCTGATTCATCTGACAAGGATTCTTCAGACACAGCTGAGCAGCAGGACTCTGATGGTGAGCTTAAAAACCATAAAAGAAATTGAAAAAATAACTAAAACTCTGCACTAACAAGGCACAATGTAAAAGTTAAATCAGTTTTTTTAAGATCATTGAAATACTATTAGAGTTTTTATTAATATTTTGAATTAGTTTAAATTTCATATTTTGTTTTAATTTTAATTTTATAGTTGTAATAATTTTAGTGCTTTTGTTTGTTTGTTTGTTTATATATATATATATATATATATATATATA